ACCCCCAGTTTCGCCTTGGCCTCTGCAGCACTGAACCTTCACTGATGGGTTCCCACTTCTCCATCGCCTCCAAGCCCTGGAGCATCCCACTGCAGCAGCAGGTCCATAGGGCATCCCTGCACCAAATCACCTCTTCCAAAGGCACATATTCACCCAGGGGCTTCCCAGTATGGGGCTGGGTGAGCCCCAAGCTGGATCCTGCACCCCAGATCCCCTCCAACAATGGAATCAAGAGGAGGAAAAGCAGGAGGAGCAGCCTCTATGTCCATCAGAGCTCCGAGCTCTTGGCAGGGGACCTGTGCAGGCGCGTCCCTGAGGAAGGCATCCAGCTGTGGGAACGTCGCTGCCGACCATCCCGGGGCTGCTCTGTGAGATGCTAAATGTCCCATGTCCCACTGCAGCGTCGCCGTTTTGCTGCAGCCATCCCATGGGGACCAGGAGGCTGTTTTCAACGGCGCTCAGATGGTTCGAATAATGTTTGTGCTGCTCGGCGGCCAAGGGGACAAGGATCCCAGCTGGAAGAGAAGAGGAACAGGGCAGGAGGTGGATCCCCTCTGCTGATAAGGAATTTTCCATGTCTTCGATCGGAATCTGTAGGTTTCCGTCCATGGGAAGGCTTTAAACAGCTTCTCCTCCAATGCGCGGGACCTGCCCAGTGAATCTCTGTCCTGACTTGATTTCTGGAAATGAAACATTCCAGCTTGGAGTGCCTGGGAGGAACCAGTTTGGGCAGCAGCAGAGTGCAGAAGAAGAAGGTGGAAGAAGAGGGGCTGTGCTGGAGGATGGTGATGTGGTTCCTGTCTGTGACGGGAGGGAACAACTCTCAACCTCAGCCCAAGGCACCGAACCAGCCCAGTCACATCCTTCCCTCCAGCCCTGTCCTTCCTCCACCCCCTGTTTTCTCCTTCATCCCAAATCTCATCCTCCTATACAGAGTATGAGGTTAAGAGTGGGTGTCCCCAGGCCACAGCAGTCCCAGGTCTGGGGCTGGCTCTGGGGTCTTCCAGCCATGGCACCCGTTGGGATCTTCATCCCTTCCCCAGTATTGCCCCAAAGATCAATGGGAAAATGGTGACCCCACTTCAGAGATCCATCAGGGGAAGAGATTCCTCACCTTCATTGAACCAGGATTTGCCAAAGTCACATTTTTCCTTTAATATTTCATATACCCCCCCCCCCCCTTTATTCTTCTCCCTTTCCTGGGAAGTTGCTGTGTCACATGAAACTTTGCCCCAGCAAGATCTGTCATCACCCCTGCTTGCTGCAGAGCACTTAGAGCCTCCCTCCTCCTCCCTCCCCACGGGCACAGCTCCGTGCCTGCAGGGCTGGAGGCAGCAAGCACCGTCCTGCCTCTCCATGGGCTACTTGGAACAGCAAGAGAGGTAAAACAAGTGCTGCGTTTGCTTAAGGGGTGGCCAAGGGCTTTTCTTGTCCTCTCAATTCATTTGCAGGGGTGGGAAGGTTTAACCCGGTCCTGCAGCACCGAGCCTGCTGGAAGTGGTGGTCAGGAATAGCTCTTGGCTCTCAGCCTGGCTCGATAATACACCGAGGCTCCCTCAGGATTAAAATAACCCCGGCCCATGGTGAGGAAGATGCAGCAGTGAAGAGGCCAAGGGGCTGCGTTGGAGCAGGAGATGGACACTGGCGCCTTGCTGCAGAGCTGGAGATGGGGCAGAGCCCTGCTTTACCCACTGCCGCGCCAAGGGTAGCGCTGGTGGGGAGCTCAGAGGGTTTGGATGTGTTTTCTCTTCCACTGAGTGATGCCTCAGCAGTTCCTCCGTGCCAGGGAAGTGCAGAAGCCCGTCAGCAGCCTGCAGTACCAAGGCACCAGCTTGGCTGAGCCCCAGGCAACATCTGGCTGGCATCTGGCAGGGCACTGAGCGGGGCTTGAGCCCTCTGGTCTCTGTATGGGAGTCCATGGCATTCGCTTGGGATGGAGGGAGCTGGGCCATGTCCTGGTGCTGGTACCCACGTGCTGAGTGACCAGAGGCGTCATCCGTGACTCACTTCCTACCTCAGAGCACGGGCAGTGCTGCCGATGTGCTGGAAACCCCTGCTCTGGGAGGCAGGGCTGAGATGGGCTTGGTGGGAAGGGTCAGGCCGTGGGGAAGCAGCCGCTCCTTCATCCATCCTCCAGGATCTGCCGCTTTGAATTGTCTCCCAGGAATGTCTCCTACGCTGTGTCATTGCTGCTGAGTGTCTGCCCGGGGATGCATCACCCTGCAAGGGCTTCCCAAGGGCCGTGTATCCTGTCGAGCGGGACAGAAACCCAGCACAAGTCATGGAGCAGCCCCGTATCCCAAGGGAAGTCCAGCTGAGGCGCTGCGTCACCGTCGGCCCCAGGGCTGGTGCTATGGGGTGAGCATCTCATCCTTGGAACAGCTCCGGGTTTTCCCTGTGTTTGCTCCTTTTTGTGCCATCTTGTCTGGACCCACTGGCCAGTGGCGTTCAAGGGGTCACTTGTCCTCATGGAGACATCAACGTCGGCCTCGTCCTGCTGGCACCAGCCATGCTCCTCATTAACTTCCCTAATTAAGAGGCCCCTTTCCATGATCAGAAGGGCTGTGGGATGGTGCCTGTGATGGAAGAGGTGGAGAAACCCTCAGCTTCTGCCCTGAGCTCCCAGGACGGCAGCAAGGGGCTGCTCTTCGGGGAGGTAAACTGGGGCAGGAGGGGGAAAGCTCCAAGCCCCAAGAAAGGCTGAAGGAAGACGGGTGGAAATGAGCTGCCATCGCCTGGACTTGCCTCCTCGGAGCAGCATTCCTTGGCTGCTCCCAAGCCCTGCGGGTGCTCACTTGGGGTTTGGTTTTGTCAGCCAGGCCCTGACACGCCAAACCCCGCGGTGCACGGCGCTGGCACGGAGCCGGACACCCACCAGCTCCTCCTGCCATGGGCAAGCTTTGGTCCTGTCCCCAGCTCACGGGAGATGCCGAGGTGGAACAGCCCGAGCAGGAGCACCGGAGCCACGCTGTGTCCTCTCCTCACCCGCCTTCATCCCATCCACACCGGGGATGGCAGTGGGTACGTGCCTGTAGCAGCCTTATCCACCACTTCACGACCCGCTGCAGGTCTCAAGGTGTTTTCTCATTCCAAACCCCAGCAAGACCCTGAAAGAGAGGAAAAAACCCCTTCTCAGTGCTTGATGTCCTCTGGAAACTTACCTTTCATGGGATTTTAAGGGATCTCTGACACTCACCCGACACGAGCCTGGTGTCCCAGAGGGCGAGGACGTGATGCCTTGTCCATCAGGAGCAGGCTCTCCACAACCACCAGCAGCAACGTTTGCTCATTCCACCTCTGCAGCCTTTGCCAAAGCCCCCAGAACCATTTCCATGGGCTGGTGATGGAGCTCCTACCTGCTTTGACCAACTCCCAGCCGGGCAGCTCGGTTTTGGCTTTAAATGGGGCTTTTTTAGGGGTGCTGCTAAAATTAAGTGCGCTGGGGCATGAGTCCAGGCAGGGAGAACAAACTGCAAACGCACTAAGGAAAAGGAGTGGTTTTTGATCTGTGTTTGGGAGATTTGCATACAATTAGGCCGGGACCTGCCTGCTTTTGCTTCCGCATTACGCTCCCGTGAGGAACCTGCCAGTTTTCCTGCCCTGCTCCCAGCCAGAGGTTGATTGCAAGGACGTTCCCCCTGGGAAGCTGGTGGGCGAGGGGGTTTTGGGGGCTCCCTGGGGATGCTCTTTCCACTGTGGTCCCCTGCCCCGAGCACCATGTGTTACCTCTGGCCATAGAGCTGGGTAACGGCTTCCTGCCTGTGCTTGAGGATGTGTGAGGAGACGCGCTGGGAGATGCTCCAGTGATTGCCTCCCATAAATAGCACGGTGTTTACATGAGCCCGCCATCCTCAGTTTATTTTTCTCTCTGCAGAGCAAACAGATTGTTCAATCCAAATAAGCTCTCCTGGCCCTGGTGCTGGCACAGCCCAATGGCACATTGCTGCAGGCCCCAGGCACTCCTCGGATGCTCAAACCCCTCAGCCCCACACTGGCCACTTGGCCAAGGAGGTAAAGGGGAAGCCCATGGACCATCAGCTGAGCAGCTCAGCACTGGGTCTGTGATGATCCCGCACTGTTCCCATCCCCACCTGGGGATGTGCAGGCTCTGATGGAGGAGAGGGTGAGGGTCAGTCCAAAGGGGCAGATGCAGGTGCTGGGACATCTCTCAGCAAGGCAGAGCAGAGCAGAAGGGCACAACTCACCAGAGTCGCAGCAGAGGAAGGAGGAAGGGTGGCAAGAGGTGCAGATGGGATCTGAGAGCATCCCCTTGCTGCAGATCTGCGGCTGTAGCTGGTCCATGTCCCTGCAGCACTTGGATGGTCTAACCCCACTCCTGGGGAGCCACTTATGCAGGATGAGCCTAGTCCATGCTTGGGAAGAGTCCCTGGAGGGCTTGGCTGGTTCAGCTCCATCAGTCCCATTCCCTCCTCACTACCCAGCCAAAGGGTGAGGTTTTGGGGGTGATGGTTTTCCCCCTTCTTCTAGGATCTTAAGCAGCATCTGGTCCAGCCTCACCACCAGTTTGGGGTCACTATTCCCACCCAGGCCCCTCCGCCTGCCCCAGCAGCTCTGTTTAGCATTGGCACAGCCCCTGCACAAGGAACGCTGCCAGCCCTGCAGCTCCCCAGCCTGGGGTGCAGCCCCATCGCAGCACCCAGAGAGGATGAAGGTTGCTTGGGGGTCTCACCCCGACAGACCCCAGCAGTGATTTGGGGTGACACATTGTCAGTCGCAGCCCCCACGTCTCTTAGCGCCTGTTCGGGTCTGATGTGGTGGGGGGGGGACAACCAGCCCCGTCCTGTCCCATTGATGCGCTGGGTCCTCGCTCCCCTCGAGCGCAGGCGCTGCCTCCGCGCCCGGAGCCTCTGTCACACCCGGCCTCCAAAACCGGTTTTGGTGCTAAAACCGGGACCGGATCCGTGCCTGGAGCTCGGGGCTGGCACCGGCTCCGTTGCTCCCCACCACTGCCGGCTCCACCCCCCTACCCCCCCCACACACCCCCCCTCCCTGTTCTTCCCGGCCTCGACGAGCCCCAAATCGGGTCAGTCGCTCTTTAAACGCCTGGAAGGCTGCACCATGTGATGCTCCAGCTCCGGTTGGGAGCCGGCGGAGCCTGCGGGAGCCGAGCGGTGCCGGGCACCGGGGACCGCGCACAGCCACCGAGAGCCGCGGGCATCCCTCCGGCCGCCCCGCAGCATGCCCCCGGCGGCACCCTGCGGGTGAAGAGCTGCTCCTGTGCCGGGGTGAGGGCACCCCGAAACAAGCCCTCTGCTTGCAGCACAAGGTGAGGTCCGTGTCCGGCGGCTGCTGCTGCCGGGGCAGGGACCAAAGAGGGGGGAAACGGGGGTCCTGCTCTGATGCCTCGGTCCCGAAGGGCTCCGCCGGGGTTGGCCCCGCGGCTCCGGGAGCGGTGGTGAAGCAGCGGAGGTGGGTGCAGGATGAGCCCCTGGGGTCGGAGCTCCGGGGGACGGCACAGAGCTTGGGGGGGGGGGGGGGGGTCCTAGTTCCCACCCCCTGCCCAGGCTCCATCCCGGCTCGCAGCGCACCCGGCGATGCCAGTTGCAAACCGCATCCCTGGGCGATTGCAGGTGACCGAGGACTCCAGCGCGGGGGGTCCGCAGCACCATGGCGCACCCCGTCTCAGCCTTCCAGGCTGCCTACATCTCCATCGAGGTCCTCATCGCTTTGGTGTCCGTGCCGGGGAATATCCTGGTCATTTGGGCTGTGAAGATGAACCAGGCGCTGCGGGATGCCACTTTCTGCTTCATCGTCTCGCTGGCGGTGGCCGACGTGGCCGTGGGGGCTCTGGTCATCCCCTTGGCCATCATCATCAACATCGGACCGCAGACGGAGTTTTACAGCTGCCTCATGGTGGCCTGTCCCGTCCTCATCCTCACCGAGAGCTCCATCCTGGCTCTCCTGGCCATCGCCGTGGATCGATACCTGCGGGTGAAGATCCCTGTCAGGTAGGAAAACGCATCGGGATGAGCTCTGTGGTGACTGCTGGGGGGAGAAAGGGAGCCCCAAACTCTTGGTGAAGCACTGAAAGAAAGGTCTTCCTCCACGCTGCTGCTGCTGGGGCACATCTGGCTGCAGCAGCGATTGGGGCAGGCTGGGCTGGGGGGGGGGGTCCTGGAGCCTTTGGCAGCTTCATTTGAGGGTTCAGAGGGTGCTGGGGTGCAGGCAGAGGTTACATTGTGGTCCCTCGTGGGGTCCCACGGCATATGGGAGAGCACCAGCGGGTGTTCCAGGGAGTGGAAAGGGGATGATAGATTTGTCTTCAACCCAGTCATTCCCTCACCACGGGCAGCCCAGGAGCCATGGGGTGATGCCTTGCTTGCTCAGGGACATGTGTGGCACAGTTCTGGGGGGCTGAGGGACCAGAGGTGACAGCCAGGCATGTCTTATAGAGCAGGCTCACCTAGGAGAGACCCTGCCTGTGGGGCTGCCCCACAGACGCCTCCCCTCCCTGGTTTTTCCCTTCTCCTCGTCTCTATCTGTTGTCAAAGCCAAGCCCATGACCAGTACGGTGGGGTGTAAATGGGGGGGTACGAACTGTATCTGAACCCTGCTGCTCCAGGAGGAGATATTTAACCGCTTCATGGCTGGCTCCTGGTGAGCTGCTGCAGTCCCTGGGGCTGGGGAGAGGCAGCTGTGGGGCCGGGATCCCCCTGTGGGGCTGGCAGGGATCTGACACCCGGCGCTGGTACCTGCACATCCCACCTCAGCCCCGCGCTGCGCCGTCGCTGTTGCTGGTTCCCTTTGCTCTGTTCAAGGACACCTTTGCCAGGCTCATCCGCTCCGGGAAGGCTGAGGAAACTCAGCCCAGACCCTTCCAGGGGCAGGAATCACCTCCCTGTACAGGGAGACAAGGACCTGAGGCTGCTCCAGTGTGCTCGGTGTCCCTGGATCCACTGGATCATCACTGTGGGGCTTTTCCTGCACCCTTGGCCCGCAGCGGCTGCTCGGTGAGGGACCATAAGGCAGAGAGGGGAGGCACAGGTTAAACCCCAACCCCTCCCCGCCACAGATGATTCCTGAGGCTGTTCCCGACTTCCTCCCTAAGTGTGATTTTCCCAGCCTGACAAATCCTTGTCTCCCAGCCCGTCTGTAACTGAAGTGATTCTCACCCTGTCATTGATCTGGGTGCTTTTTTGGTCCTCCTGCCTCCCCTGCATGCTGGGGCTGGATTCAGGAGTGGGAGTGCTGCAGCTTCATACATAGCAACACCGCCGAGCTCTCAGCAGTCATTTTCCTAACAAATCCAGTCTTTTTATGTCCATTCCTGCCTCTGAGCAGCAAATGGGGAGATTTCTGCCCTGTGCCCAGGACGTTTCCTGCAGCAATATTAAGCTGTGAATAGTTTGGGTGGGCTTTTCTCATGCAGTATCGACCCTGACTTTGCCTGTCCCATTATGTGGCTGAGCACTTGGCACAGGGAGATTTCCCTCTGAGTTTCTGTACCCTACTTAATATCAAAAGGCTTCATAGCCACAAGAAGGGTTTGGCTTCACTCTCCCATTCTCTCATCCCCGGGTGCTTCCTCCTCTCCCTGGCAGTTGGCAGATGCAGTGATTTTAGGTGATTTTGGGCGCCAGCAGCAGCAAAACACAGGGCTGGAGATCACAAATAGCACAGAAACCACCACGACTCTTCCCTGAGCCTGGAATGTGGCGAGTTCCCCCCAACCTGTGCTGGCTGCTGAGGGATGATACTGACAACATTTTGACAGCTCCAATCACGGCTTCATGGTGTCGTTCCTCACTGCGACACCGAACCCGGCAGCCTGCAAACGGGTGCTGAGAGCCTGCAGCAGCACTTGAGTCCCCATCGAGACCCATGTGTGTCCCCGGGGTGGCACCCACAGAGACCTGCAGGTGATGTGGGGGGGGATCTCTGCCCCCCGGGCACATCCATAGGGTGGCCAGGACATGGAGCAGGGGTATCCCCCCTGGCACATTGGCATCGGGCATGGAGGGGATGGGGTGAGCAGACAGAGTGGGTGCTGCGGTGCCAAAGGAAGTGCCCACACAAGGCTGACACAGGGTGGGTGCTCCCCAGTGGGATGCACGCATGGCCAAGGGGCCTTGTGGGCTTTTGTGCATGGGGATCCCACATCCCCAGCCCCACTACTGGCTGGAGGGGACAGCAGGGAAGTGAAACGCATCTCCTAGAGGCAGCCAAAAAGGACTGGGAGCAGCAAGGAGAGAGGCTCCGGGCTTCCCTGCTCCATCCTTGTGCTCCCCAGCAAGCAGCACTTGCGGTTTGGGTTCTGTGACGGGGTGTGCAGGGTTTCCACATCCCTCCCATGTAGTGGCCAATTGGGGTGAGAAGCCAACGGGGCTGTTGTCTGGGACGGGTTGTCTGGAGGAGAAGCCAAGGCACTGGTGGATTTTCCAGGTTTTCTATTTAATTAGGCAGAGCCAGGACTGGAAGCGCAGCTTGGCAGGGAGCTGGGAATGTGGTGCATCACAGCTGGGATCCTGCTCCAGCTCCCATGTACAGCCCAGCCCTGGGGGCTGTGAGCTTGGGGGAACCACCTTCAGCTTTGCTCCTTCTTCCAGCGAACGTGGACCCGTTCTCTGCCCATGCACCCAATGGAGATCAAGCCCTGGGGCAGACCAGGAGCTTTATGGCCCCAGGGGTGGGTGTTTTCTGGTGCAATGTCTTGAGCAAATGGTGCCCTGAGACATCTGGGATGTGTGGGATGGCAGTGGGAGAGTGACATCCGATGCTGCATCGCAAGCATCCTCCCTGCTCCCATGGCCGTGTTTCCTATGGACACAGACACACAGAGGAACATGGGCCACTCGTGCAAGGTGGAGGCAGGTTTTGAGGGATGGAGAGGGGTCTTTCATGGCTCTGTGTTGGCACCTCTTTCCTCCTGCTCCTGGAGGGAAACCCAGTGCACACCCAGCATGGTTGGGGGACCAGGGTATCCCACTGAACCCTCTTCCTGTGCCCCAAACCCCCAGGTAGCATCTCGCCAGTCTGCTGGGATCTGCAGGGTGCTGCCTCCCCACAAAGGGCATTTTCTTGACTCTGGAGGGATGCAGGAGCATCGCTAGGGTTGAGAGGGCTGGAGCAGAGGGTACCATGCTCCCGAGCCTCCACAGGAACTGCTCTAAACAGCTGGAAACCACCTAAAATAGGTTTGCTGCTTTCCTGCGGGTGGAAGCGCTCACATCTCCCCTCTCGCATCCTTCCTCCCCTTCTGGCCTCAAGGCAGGACCCCCCTTGCTGCCGTCCCCAGTGCCGGGCACAGCAGGGCCCCCAGCCCAGCCCAAACTTCCCTCTCACAGCCGGGCCTGGGGAAGATGAAACGAGTTCAAAGGGAGGGAAGCAGCCGGGCAGGGGCGGCCGGCAGGAACCGGCCCCTCGGCAGCAGGATGCTGGGGGCCGGAGGGATGTTGGGGGGGGATGTAGCTCCTCTGGCGCCAGCCCCTGCCCTGTCTCTGCTCTAAGATGCTGCTCTGGGCTTTGTGGAGGGGGCCATGGCAGCAGGAGCGGACAGCCCCTTGCCTGGGGATGCTGGAGGCACTGGTCCTATCTTGCTGTGTCCTTGGGGGTCCTCGCCTTGCCCACTTCACACCACCAGCTCTTTCCTCCTGGTCTTTGAAACACGGGCCAGGAAGATTAAAGTTGGAGAGATGTGCTGGTAGCAAGAGCCCTTGTGGGGGGGGGGGTCTCTCACCCCGCAGCAGGGACCTCCAATGCCCACCCGAGCAGCATCCCGCAAGGCAAGCTGCGTTTTACATTGCTGAAGGTATTGAACACACACGTGAGGCTGCAGAGCCATGGAAATGAGACCAGAGTGGAGTGGAAATTGCTAGGAAATGGTGGGGGGGGGCAGTAGGAGATGGTTTAGAAGAACCTTCTCCTGAGCCTGATGAGATAAACCAGCTCAGGTGCGGCAGGAGCATCCCTCAGCCCCCAACTGCAGCACTTGGAAGCCGAGGAGGTGAGAGCTGCAGGCAGCCTTGGATGGCCCCAGTGGTGGAAGGGGGAAGCTTCCCCCCCTTGACCCCACTGTTGTCCAGGCTCTTGCTGGGATTGCAGTGCTCTTTCCCCTTCTCTCTGGGCCTGCCAAAGGCTGCAGGCATGGGGCCAGCTGGGGCTGGGTCACAGGGAAGCCTCAGCACCCTCAGCCAGCTGGGTCATGGAGCAGGGCATGTGGCTGGGATGGTTTTCCCACCTTTCTTCCACTGACAGTGGGATGGGGATGGGGAGGACACTGGGATGAGACCCTGCTTGGGCCCAAATTCCCAGGCACCAAAGCACATGGGAAACCTTTCTAGCAACCCCAACGCTTGGGCTCTGAGACCCAGCAGATGTGGTCAGGATGGGGATGAGGAGGTTTTGGACCAGGCTGGGATGTGTGGTGGCCCCGATGCCTGTGGGAGCTGGTCCTCTGCAGAGGTATCAAACCACAGCAGCAGGTTTTGAGGCTCTCATCAGAGCAATGGAAGAAGAGGAAACGTGTGCTCCATCTGAGGGCAGTTTTTGGCCAGGCAATGGGTTTCATGGCTACCCAGGGAGGCAAAGGTGACTGGAGATGCCTCAGCCTGGCCAAACCAGCAGTGAGGCTGATGGCAAAGTGACTGTGTCCACCCAGGCAAGGGAATAAACCAAACCCTGGTTGTCCCAAGGCTTATTTTCAGTCTTGGAGGAAACATTTCACAAGCATCCAGGTGACTCAGAGCCAGGAGCGTGAGCTCAGGGAGCCGCAGGGGGGGTTTGCACCCAGGAGCTCCTCTAGGTTTCCTTCAACCCCATTACTCATTATCCACCCCTATAGGCCCTGCCCCTGTGGAAGCAGATTGGATTCCCAAGGAAAGAGCTCCCATTTGTCCTAAACTGGAGAAATTTGGGGGTCTCTGCAGCTGCCTCTTTTATCCCTTTCCTTGCTGCCCTCCACCAGTGCATTTATAGCAGGGGAGGGTGATCTATGGAGACCTCCGTTCCC